AACCAAGAATTTGTATGAAAGAGCTAAAACTGGCTAAAGCCACATTAAAATTGTACCGACTATGTAGAACCGGAAGCCTTGAACCGTTGGAGCCACAATATTTAAGAAGTCATTAAGGCATCAAAATTTATGTAAAGTTTGTTTTAATTATGGCAGGTCTTATGGAATTTGCAGACAACCGCAAGGAAAAATTTTAGCTGTCCCTGTGCCATTAAACTTCGAAAAATACGAAATTTAGGGACCGGAATTTTTGAAATATTATATCGTCATTAATGCGTCATGACACCGAAAAAGGGCTTGAAAGCCGTTGTGATAGCAAAAATTGATGGTTTTATTGAGCTCGCTGTTCAGACATTTTTTTCTGTAACTGCACCGTTAAACCCAAAATTTACGTTTTTCCAAAAAAGCTTTGAATGTTTATCCTATATTCTTCGACTGCCTCACTTTTATGGATGTCATACTCCCTTAAAAACGCTTCAAACCCAAAAAGCCGAATATTTGAAGCGTACTCTCTTCAGGCGTGCGCGGGTACTTGCCAAGCAACCACCGCAACTGGTACCGGATCGAGGAATCTTTTTTGGAACATTCTAATGACATAAAGCGCTTACCTCTTACCCGCTCGTTAAGCGCCGTCAACGCCAATGCATTGGGGTGGGGCCGGATGAAAAGATTACCGTCGACCATCAAATATAGGAGGAACAGGGCGAAAACCTCCCGCATACCTGGAAAGTCGACAGTAAATTAATTGGATTGTCACGACAGCGGATAAGAAAGCGCCAGATCACGGAACGGCTTTGAAAAGGCGCACTGCAGCGTAGTGTGTTTCGTACTGTACTAAATCTCGTAGGTCTGGAAACAAAAAAATTTTTGGGTCAGCTGGCATCTTCCGTTTCAGCCAAAACCCTTGATTGTTCGGTCTGTGCTGTCCAATGAAAATGGTTGTGACATTTACTTTCGAATATTCTTTTTTTATATAAATTATATTACATTAAAACTTTACAGGCTTCTGAGACTTACCCCGTAGAACTTTCCGCCTAGCTAGTATCAAAATTTATTGTTTTTAAGGTAACAGTTTGTGAACTATGCAAATTGCTAGCGTGTTCCGAAGTATGACTAATTTGTCGATTGTATTTGTTTCATGTCGTGTCGTCGTTGCCGTAAGTACGATATTTTTTAATTACGATAAGTACATTAGGTTTAATCAAGCGGTTGGACAATGTCTTCAAAAATTAAAGCAATCTGGCAAAAAAACCTAGAAAACAGACAAAAGCTCCCATGTCTCTAACGGAAAGTTGACATCCTCGCCAAAAAAAAAAAAATTAAAAAAGCAGCTAGCGCTTCTCCACCTACCGTAATCCTCTAAGTTTGCGAGCCTAACCTACGTAAATCTAGGCTTAAAAGACAGAAATTTGTCGTTTTAGAGCCTTGGACGTAGCTCTATTCAGAATGCCGAAATCCTCTAGAAATTCAAGCTATTCTTCCGGCGATGCCCTTTCAGATCAATCAGCCAAAAAAATTCGAGTTGAATGAAAAATTCTACAAAAATAGGCAAAACCGGGAAATGACGAATGGATCCAGATCAACTCGGGTCGAGTATATGTAGTCCTCATTCCAGTGGGTGGATGATATAGTGTGAGTTGGATGCAATGTATGTGGGTGTTACTCCATCTCTCTCTCTCTCTCTCTCTCTCGCACTCTCTCTCTCCACTTCTGTGTGTTGAGTATGTATGCGTACTGGGAAATTGGGTGGATCAAGGGCAAGAAGAAGGCTACTTCTTCTTTTCTTTCCCATATCGGGTCTTCTGGGGCCTTTCCACAGTAGAGGGCCCAGGGCCAAGGGGCCCACTAGGGCCCAAATGGACTAATTATCTATCCCTCCCAGCACCCATCCCGACCAAAATGTCATCCCACACAAATTCCTTACTCCAGCACTCGCCACTTTTGGCATATATGGTGTCTCCGTGAGAAACTAAAAGTCGTTTGAGGAAATGCATACGTGTTGCGGTATTTAAGAGGGCGTGGAACGGCTGAAAAAACTGGAGACTTTGGGTTGGAGACTACAGTAAGCTTCCAGAAATTCCGGGGTAAGATAAATTACGGTAGGTATTCCGTAGCAATTCGGGATTTTACCTTTATGTTCCACCACTTCCAGCACCTACAAAAACATCACTTAAGGTAATGGAGGCTAAATTGAATAAAAAACTACCGTCATCTCTAGTAAATTTCTTATTGGACCAAACTACAATATAACCTTGACGTTATATTGTAGTTAGTTTAGTGTAGTCGAGGCTGTTTCCGAGGTTGTCCAAATTCAATGGAAACATTAACAAGCAACGCTAACTGTAACCCTTTTATGGTCGAAGTGGAAATTCGTTTCGTGAGATAGCACATCTAGTGCAGATTTTTCGCTGATTCCGAATCCGTTTTCAAAAGTTGCGGAACCCCTCAGATTAAAAAGTTACAAACGTTTTTAATACCCAAATTGCCCAAAATCACTTACTTTAAAGTGTTCTAAAAAGTTCGTAAAATACTTTTGGGGGGAGAGTGAGGCGTTGTTCGGGGTAGAAAAACGTGCTCTTTCAAATGGGCTACCTCACGAATCCGTAGCTCGAAATTTGCAAAAACGTTTTTTCGGTGGGCCGAGGCCGATGGCCGAGTTTCGAAATTTTCGAAATTTTCAGCTACGGGTTCGTGAGGTAGCCCATTCAAAAGAGCACGTTTTTTTTTACCTCGGAGTACGCCTGAATTTCCCCGCAAAAGTATTTTACGAAATTTTTAGAACACTTTAAAGTAAGCGATTTTTGGCATTTTGGGTATTAAAACGTTTGTACTTTTTAATCTGGGGGTTCCGCAACTTTTGAAAACGGATTCGGAATCAGCAAAAAATTCTGCACAAGATGTGCTATCTCACGTACGGAATTTCCACTTCGACCAAAAGAGGGTTACTGTCGCGATCCCGCGACTGCATGCGCATGCTGAATGACCGGAAGACCAAGCCAATAACCATCCCTTCCCCTCATTTACATGCTGATTTCCCTGTGTTCCCTGGTATATAAAGCCCCCAATTCTCGTTGTGATTGCTTCAGTCATCCGCTCCGACCCCGGCTTCTCCGTCCTCATTTACTTCAACGAGGTGTCACCCCACCGGGGACATCCTCCGAATAAATGCTGTGACCCTTCATGTCTGCTCTCCCACGCTATCGAGACAGTTACAGTAGGTACAGTACAGCCTATACGGCCTTCCCAAGCCCATTCTCTCCAGATTTTTGATACGTTTTTTCAAACGCTTGAATGCAAGCTTGAACATGCTGAATTTACCATTCATTGAGCCTCAAACTACAATTTTCGGGACCGTAGATGCCAGCTTAAAAGTAAGGAAATTCTAACCATCGCTAAAAATCCGGATTTCGAAGAAGGCTGAACCGATCACCATATGATCCAAAAATCAAGTAGCTTCCGAAGGCAAATTACGAAGCTATCACGAAAATTTCACGACGGTCGGAATTCGGAAGTTTTCGCGTATTAAAGGTAACTGGTGTTAACCCGGTGTTTCTTAACTTTCTTTTTATAGACTTGACTTACGTGCGGGAGAAAAAGGTCCGTTAATAGCTACCTTGGAGCTACGTGTGTTTCTCTAGCGTGGGTGGAGGTAAAAAAATGCTATCGTAATTGCTAGGTTGTAAATAGAGATGTAGCTTGATACCAATTATCTCTAAAAATCGAGAGGAAGAGGAATAAAAATCAGCAACGAAGTGTACGTGAAAAAATGCTCTAGAGTGCAAAATTCAAAATCTCGCGTGGTTGTAAAATGCCTATTTTTTGTGCGAATCGCTAAATACACTCGATTTGGTTTAGTTTTGCTATTTAAATCACTTCAGTTTAATCGCGTTCAAAATAGCACGTTTCAATAATGTCGTTTCGTCGGGGGAACCCCCATTCCAAACCCAGAGCACTTTATATACCTAAGCCCAATCATTTCCCGGTCCGGACAATCTAATTTTTGCGCCATTTTCAACGCCAACCGAAAAGGCAACAACAATGAAAAACAAGACACGTTTTTGGGCCAGAGGCAGGTACACGGAACCATGCCGTATCGAGTCGAATTATCCTACGAAGCGGGCGTTCCGGGTGACGCCAATTTTTTTTTGAGCACCGCTCCCCACTCACACCTCCATGCATCTGCAAGTAGGACTTGGTTGTTATGAGAAAGTAACGTTTTTGGATTGGGTGGGAAATTTCGGGATACGTCTTGCACAAGGAAACGTAGCGAGTGGTTCGTCAGAAAATTTGATATTTTTTAGGAATTTTAACTTATACCTCAACCGCAGTGGCAGCCCAAAAAACGTTTATTTTTGATGTACAGGGGGTTCAAGGCTAATTTAGAACTTCTTACCGTAAGTCTGAGTCCCTTGAATTGCAGGCACCGTACCCTAAAAAAACCGCGAAACTTCATAAATAAAAAGCATTAAGTCCAGCCTGACCGATCATATTAAAGATTGTACAGATTACATCAAAATCTACAGATTTCTCCGGAAAGAGCTTACCAGACAGCCCCAGGATTCTTTTATAGCCCCATAAGTACAATACGGTAACACTTCTTTCAATTTCGTTAGGCTCCTTGACACTTCTAACCCATTTTCGTGCATATGACGCGGACTTATCAACAATATTTATTACACATGGAAGCAGTACAAGATAGACACACACACCGTAACACTTTCCCGGGGCCCTTTAAAACCCCAGTAGGGGCTGTAAAATTAAAGGGGCTGGGAATAGCCATATTGCACACTGGTCAACAACACGAATTGCATTAGGCAATGGAATTCCGGAAGCACTTATTAATGGGGAGAGAGAAAGGGAGAGAAAGGGAGGGAGAGAGATAGAGATAAAGAATAGTATCCGGGGGAGGGAATGTATGGCATGGAAGATCACATGGGGGTGAAAGACTGGGGGTAGCTAGCAGAGAAAAGTGGGGAATTTTCAAAATCTCGAAACGGCTAGAAAAAGTGCTTCGGGAGGAAGAGGTCGATAACTGTCGTCAGGTATGCAACGCCGAATGGGAGCTGAAAATTCGGGTTTTGTATTTAAAGGGATTGTCAAGGCATTCTCGTGAACTTTCACTATTTTAACGGGACTCGAAAGCGCCGGGATCGCTGATGACGTCACAACTACGTGGGGCGGCAAATCACGCATGTAACCAGTTGGTCTGGGCTTAGACTGCGGCTTAGGCTTAGGCTTCGCTTATGCTTGGTTTAGACTTCAGCTTATTAGGCTTACGCTCAGGTGAGGCTTTGATTTAGCCCTCGGCTCAGGCTTAGGCTTAGGCTTGATTGTTGCCAAGCAGATCGAAAAATCCTCACCTCTGCATGCGACTGCTGTCTCTCGTGATCCTCCACAAATCCGAAGAAGCTCTGGGCTTTCCGGTGGAGGATGAAGAAGGTCTGTTGCAATGCCTTCAGCGCCAAGTTTGAGTGGCAGGAGGAGAGGACGCCATTGACAAAAATGTCTCCGGATGACGTTAATGGGGAATAGATTCCGGTGCCGGGTACCTAAATACAATTTCCTTCATTCCTCAAGAATCTCTGCTGGTTCGCCCTTAATCCAAAGTTTTATACCTTACGGACACTTTTCTAAAAACCCAACATACCTTGGTAATATTCCTAATGATCTGCGCATCCAACAACGAATCTGCGTTCACCGAGTGCAGACATTGGCCAACCTGAAAATCATAGCTTACCCTTAGGCTGCTTAGGTTTAGGCTTCTGCTTCTCGGTTTAGGCTAAAGGCTTGAAGTTCCTGCCGTACCTTCACATCCTTTGCATGCACCAGATCCAAAGCCGTATTCTCGCAATCATTTACGTAGATCAAATGCTCATCAGTCAACTCGACCGCTTCTCCACTTTCCAGCATAATTCTATTAAACTCCGCCTCCTCCGCGTCGATCTTGTGGAGGAACATGATGACAGGGGAGTATTGAACCTAAAAAACCATTAAGATCGCGCTACGGTATCTTCATACCATATTCTCATCAATGCTGAGCACGAGGTCGCCAACTTGCAGCTCGTCCATTCGTTTTGGGCCCGTTGGGGTCTCGACTTCCATATTGCGGGAGAAGCACTGCATCCGGGTGAAGAGGGCGTTCATACTGGAGGTCTAAACACAAGAAATGTAGGCTAGGGTAGGTTTAGGCTTAAGATTAGGTTTAGGCTTAGGCATAGGCATCAACTTGGGCTTAGGCATGGGCTGAGGCTTAGGCTTATCTTAGGCTGAGGCTTCGGATTAAGTTATCTTTAGGCTTAGCATAGGCTTAAAGTTAGCTTATACTTAGGTTATGCTTGGGCTTCAGCCTAGTTTTGCTCAGCTTAGGCTTGGTCTTAAGCTTAGGATTAGCTTAGAATTAGCTTGGCTTAGGCTTTAAGAAACTTACCCCATAATTCGGATATGAGTAACTCGGCTGATAAGCTGGCTGGTAGGCCGGTTGATACGATGGCTGATAAGCCGGATAGGCCGGCTGCTGAGGTTGAGCGTAGGAGTTATAAGCCGGTTGGGCCACTGCATATGAGTTCGCCTGCGGGGCCGGGGCCAAGGCGTAGGAGGGTGAGGGCCCAACAGGTCCCGGAGCTGGGGGAGCTGGTGGGAAGACGGCATTGCTGAAAGTGGATGTTGCAGAGAGCGAGAGTAAGCGAGAGAGAGCGAGGGAGGGAGAGAGAGGGAGAGCTTGCCTTATGGACATACCTAAAGCTCGCCGGAGCCTGAGCATAACCGCCAATTGGAGCCTGTTGTAGTCCACCGATAGTGTTGTAAACTGGCGGTCCGACCGGGCCTGGTTCTTGAGGTTGTACTTGCACAGGTTGACTGGCTGCGGCTGGGGGCTGACCGCCGAACTAAAAAAAGTTTGGATTAATTTTTGGAGCTTTATGCGCTGGATGTTTTGAATTCTGATTTCATGCTCCTCAAAATTTTCTCAACCTACATCATAAGTCGGCTGCGCAGGGGCGACGCTTTGGGACTCCAAGTTGGTAGCCGAAGGCACGTAATCGGTGTTAGTCGCCGGGGCTAGAGGAGCGGGAGCTGTTTGGTCGTAGGCCTCACGGGCGAGCTGAAAAAAATAGCGTTGGCAGATTTTCTAGAATTTTTCAAGCTGCAGGGGCTCAGGTAAAAATAACCTTAGCTGCCAGTGCCCTTGAATAGTCCCCATTATTATTCTGACGATCACGTTGGTCGAAAATCATGAAGTTTTCCTGAAAATTGTTAAATTTATCTCACGACTTCGTAAAGTTCCACGTTTCACCGGGTCGTACTGTATCGTAAAGTATGGTAAGGTATCGTATCGCGCAATACAATCTCGTACGGTAGCTTACTCGTACAGTATCGTATCCTACAGTTTCATATCTTGACGTACCTGATACCCCAGAGGCTCCTCCGTATCGTAGACCTCAGCCCCGTAAGCTCGACGACGATGGCTTGGCGGGTAAGCGACTGGCCAGAGACGATCCGAGGTACGGTACATTGGCCTCCTGCGTACTGGTGCGTAGTCATAGTCGTACATGTCCTCGTACTCGAGCTGACGATAGACCGGACGACGGGCGCGGTGCCTAAAAATGGAAATACTGATATCTGCGTTACGTGGTCCATTATTTGGTTCTGAAACACGTACCTGCGCCTCATAGGCTGACCCCGTCGTGCGGAATATCGGCGTCGGTTTGTGGCATACCTGAGAACCGTAATTTCGTGACTATTGTGAACGCTTACCGTCTAGGTTCATCCTCGTACTCGTACGATGGGGTTGACGTCATTCGCCTTCTGACTCGAGTTTTTATGGGGAATGCTTGTCCTGAATTTGCTAATTTTTTGAGAGAAAGGGGAGAAAGAGAGAGAGATGAGAGAGAGAGAGAAAGAGAGAGAGAGAGAGAAAGAGAGCGAGAGATAACGTGAGAATACCTTTAGCCGCAACAGGCTCTTCAGTTTCGTCATCGAGCTCCTCAACCTCTTCGATGGTGCACGGCATTCGGAAGATGGAGATGAGGTATTGGACCCTCAAAATAGAGAAATATTTGGCTAATCAGATCAAAGGCTCTCTGCTAGCTGCCTGCTAAGTCTTAACGGGGCTGGGACAGAAGAGGCCCCCTGGGCATCGACAGGTACATGGCATGCCAAAATACGCTTGTTTATGGTTTCAATGGTACATGCAAGCCAAATTTTCGCGATTGCCAAACCCCTTTAACCGCCTCAAAATGCAACACAAATTTGCCTCACTGAAGAGATCAAGAGTTCACCCCCGAACAAGCCACCCATCCCCCCTTCGTCCATTGAATAGGTGTCCAGTTTGAGGGTGCGGGGCAAGGGGTTACGATTTGGCATAAAAAGTGGTGTCCTCCCACCCATGGATGGGATTGTGTTGGCCGAGAGCCAATTATTTCGCCGCCAAAAGACAGGCATACCAGATGGACAAACGAGAGAGATAGAGAGAGAGAGAGAGAGAGAGAGAGAGAGAGAGAGAGAGCGCGAGAGATTGAGAGAGAAGCCATCGGTGGAACTGGATTTGTGATGCTGGTGTTCAGCTTCGTGAATTCGTCATTTTTGCAGGGTTTTTTGAAGGAAGACAAGAATGAGGGTAAGAGAGAGAGAGAGAGAGAGAGAGAGAGAGAGTGAGTGAGAGAGAGAGAAAGAGGAAGAAAAAGAGCGAGAGAGAAAGAGAGAGAAAGACAGAAAGAGAAAAAGCTAGAGAGAGAACGAGAGCGGGAGAGAGGGGAGAGAGTGAGAGATACTCATCATTTTTCCACTTACTGATTGTCCGAAGTAACCGTCTTCCGAATCTCCTTCACCAAATCGTAACCTGGCGGCTCCTTGTCATTCTAAAGTAGCATTTTTAAAGTATCGATTTGATTATTTTATGTCTCTTGGCATCAAAATAACCTGAAGAAACGAATTATAAAGCTCTCTTACCTTAACGATTCCACCAGCATAACTATCCCCGTATTCCAGCATCACGCTCTTCAGCTGCCTGGCCATTTTAAGGTCCGAGAATTTGCAGCACTGGGTTTTTAGCCTAAAACGGATTTAGCCTAAAATTTGACCTTTGAGATTAATTCATTGAGATTTGTTATAATCAAGCTAGAAACGACAAAATTTTTATTTTCTACAGTACTCACGTCCTGTGCGTTCCATTGTTGATCTCAATCAAACCTCCCGTCCACTCGTCCTCATCCAGGCAGACCGTTTCGAGGTATTTCGGGTTACATTTCTAAAATAGTAGTTTATAAGGTATTGAAAAGGTTTTTACAGTAAATTTACAGTAAAGCCAAGGCAACGTTTTTACCTGAGAAATCGATAAAATTTTCAAAAAATTTCGAGGATTTTCACTGTTTTCCTTTTAGACTCTTTTTCGCGTGTTTGGGCTTGCGTTGATCAAAAATCTATACAAATCGGGAATTTTCCGATTTTCAGTTTTACAACTTTTTACAACAGCCCCGGGAAGCGGAAGATCGTGATTTCACCTCATTCCGGCCATAAAAAGTGAGGGTCCCCTAAAGGGAATCCGAAAGGGAAGGCTCATTTTCTCTTTTCCTACTTCCTGACTACTCTCAGGGTGTTCCGGTTGTCCCCCGTACAATTCCCCCTCCATGGCCCCTCAATCGGGATTAGGCTGTTGATCCACCTCGTCCAGGAGCGAGCCACCGCACTTGCTCACTTCGCCCTCAGGCTCCCCAGGCTACCGAAACTTTTACTTGACAATTTTGGGGGTAGTGAAACGGAAGCGTGTTTTGGTGTGGAAAGTAGAGGTTTAGATAAGGCGGAAATCAGCCGGAACTAGCAAAAAAAAAGCTCTGTAATGCCCCAAAAATTCGCCGCTAGCCTACCAGCTGTTTCAAAGGTTGTGAAAACATCCATATTAAGGAGGGATTAATAGGAGAGCGATCGAGAGTCCGAGCTAGAAAGAGAGCGCGGGAGAGGGAGAGAGAGAGAGAGACAGAGAGAGAGAGAGAGAGAGTGACGCAAAAAGAACGAAAGACAGCGCTATCCAGAAAGCACCAGCTTATACGCTTTGGTTAATTTTTCCTTTTCCCGTGGTTGTTCAAAGCAAAGATCACTACCGTAATTTTAAATAAAATTTATTAAACCTCACGCTCACGCATGTATGACTGCCTTTGTACTTCATAGTCCCCTGAACACCCAAATTTCTTCCTTCAAAACCAGTTCAAAAAGTACGAGCCACTTTCCCTGGGGTTCGCCGGATTCCGCCTGTTGGTGTAGCCAGGAGGATTAGCCGGTTGACCCTTGCTCTACCCCAGCTCTGGAACCACTATGGAAAACCCGCGAATTTTGGGAAGCGTCACTTTTTGCTCCCTTTTTGATGTCTTTGCTCTTTTGGACAAGATGCTAAAAGCTGCACTCCGACCAGTTTTGCAAAAAAATCAGAGTTCGTGGGCTGTACTTAGAGAGAGCGAGAGGAGAGCGAGAGAGAGAGAGAGAGGGAGAGAGAGAGAGAGAGCGCACTGGATATGGTATTTCTTACCGCATCAATTCCATCAGGCGACGAAAATTCCGAGCATTGCGGAGAACCGCAAAATAACTCTAAAAGTTGAACATTCCTGATTTTTTTAAAATTTCTACCTGGTCTTCCGTGTTTATCGATCATTATCTTATAAGGAATTCCCTCCCTTCCACATGTACCACCCTCATGTGTCAAATCTGCTGCCATCAACCCGAAAAAAGTGGCCAGGATGAGCTGGTGGAGTTCCCGCATCTGAAATTAGCACGAGGTTGAAGCGAAAAACAAGCAATAAAGTATACACCAAATAGAGTCGCGAAGCGAAAAAAACGACGTTGAGCAAGAGCTAATACATATATAATGCCGTAAAAATCAATTATTACCGAGGCACTACTACCGTAATCCCAGGCTTGGAAAACGATGGCTAAATCGCAAGGTCACTACTTTGGTAGCTACATTTTGCTACCTATACTATCTACCCGAATCGATGGTAAGCTACAGTATTCAGTTGATAAAGCTACTCAACGAATCGGAACACAACACAACACACGATTCGTGAGAACAAGGCGCTACAGAAGTACTGTAGGAATAACTCTGTCTGCCTAGGACCGAGTGTCTAGGGTCCGCCACAGTATCATACTGATAATGCTACTTATGTAGGATCCGACCGGACACCCCGGTTGCTGGATGATATGTGTGGATTGACTGGTAGCCTCGATCGACTTGAGGGGATGCCCTGGGGGCATGTCCAGCAGAGGGGCGTGGCCGCCCCGCGCGACACCAATTTTCCGCATTTTCCGCGCCCCGTTTTTGCCACCGTAGCTGAGGGGAATGACCAGCTGGAAAGAACGAGAGATAGAGAGAGAGAGAGAGAGGGCCTGCTGAACAACAGGTCACATCGTGTGCTTATTCTGCCGGGAATTGCCTGCGATATCTGCACGTAGAAAGGATGGGCTGCACTTTTAAAGGTGCCAAGTTGGCGGAGCGGAATTTGGTGTCTGGTGGAATTTTAAGCTTGATCTTGATGGTCTTTAGTGAGCGTTTAAGGAGATAATGTAGGAGAGTATAAAATCGTTGCTCTCGGAGTTGTTATTTGGTCGAATCATCCCAGCGTACCTTATCGAATCGTAAGTCGTATATCGAACATATCGCTGACATGATTTCGATGTTGCGTGCAACTTGCTTAGTTTCGGTCATTCTTCGTCACAGAACTCAAGATGCCGAAGATAAAAATGCGACCAAGCCAAAACACACAAAAGTTCAGCACCAAACTGCATGCAACCCGGATGGTAATCTCGGGTCTTCTCACTGTAGCATTATTTCAGCCGTCGTTTTTGTGTCGGTATTTTGGGTCTTTACCTGAATTTTCGGAGCACTAGAAGCGACATTTTGAGTTTTGCAGGGTTTTCCTCTTATGGACCAGGCGGCAATTTGCGATTTGTCCAACAAGGGAAATCAGAATTCAGTGACCATGAAGCCTACTTTCCTCAGCCTCTGCCTAAATTATAGATTGCAGATCGTATCGCGGCGACCTAAGGAAAGCGTTTGAAAGGAAGTGGGAGAAAAGTAAATGTTGGCGGTTGACAGGACTAGCAAGCCCAAGCCTAAGCCCATGCCTAGGTCGAAGCCCAAGTAAGCTTGAGCCTAAGTAAGCCTAATTGTTAGCCTAAAATAAGAGATACAACCTTCAATCGGCAGCTTGAGCTTTAGTCAGGTATTTCGTAAAAGTTTCTAGCGTCAACTTTGAAGCCCTGCTGCCACTCATGCCACCCAAAAGTCCATCCACCTGTCACGGCCAAGGTTCTTTCCCCACTGTCCAGGCCGCAAATTAGGGCTCCCGACTTGGCAGGCTATTGTGTGCCCCATCGCCGGGCAGTCAAAGCTCCGACTGTCCGGCGGTGATGTCTTGAGGTAGTGCTCAAATCCGCGCGTCACAGGGAGCCGGTCGTAGTGGTGGCGTGAAAATTGCTTCAGGCCCCCGGGGATAGAGAGAACGAGAGATAGAGCGAGAGACCGAGACGGGTTTTGACAATTTAGAGAGTCTTCTCTGCAAATCAGTGCCCGGCCTATGTACTGCTCCTCGCAACGGTCCGCACTGATTCGTTCGCCCTTTCCCAGGGTCATTCCAGAGATTCGGACCGGATTGTTTCGGCTAAACAGGATTAAGCTGGAGGGTGTTTGGGCTGTACGGTGTACGGTGGACGATATGTACGCTGGAGTTTGATGTACTAAAAGAATTTGGAAATCGGATTGATTATGCGGATATACCAGAACTGTATCGCATGAGAAAGCCAGCATCTCGCATTTTGGAGACTGGTCAAAAATTCAATGAAACCTAAATTGTATTTTCTTTGTATTTTCTGGCTCTGTAAAGAGCAAAAAGGTCGAAAAGGATCAGGCTGATAGCCGAAATGCCGACACCCAAAACAAGCAAGCCTGGCAACCCTTTAGATTTGCATGGTGTTGCCAATTCTCGTTCCCCAGAAAATTACCATTATTGCGCTAGGTGTAAAAACACGTGCTCCTCCGCCTCAATGGCGGAGGTAATTTACGTCCATCGAAACCTGTCGGGCGCCAAGAGTCTCGGATCGGGTGAGTGAGGGTGAGGGTGAGCATGAGGGTGAGGGTGGGTGGGGGCTAATGGGATTGAGGGGAGGATGACCGGTTGCATTCGGGGGAACCCTCTTGCTCAATCCGCAATATCCACACCGCGGATTCCACACCAATCCGGTGGACGCTACTTGAAAAACTACACGGCAGTGTACACAGGAGCTAATTGTTCGCGCTAAGGTGACGGGATCCTTGCCTGAGGGGTAATAATCGACTGGCTACTGGTGTACTTCGGATTCCCCCGTACGAACGGGACGGCAAAAACTGGCCGAGACTGGTCATTGGGAGATTGTCTAGGGTAGATTCCCGTTATTTAGAAAACCAGATTTGCAACCCGCCTTTTTTAGGGACCCGGAAGGCCGCCAACCCCCGGGAATCTTTCCGGAATTCCAGGCAGAAATCTTCGGAATTTTCTTCGAACCAAACCAATTTCGGCACTATTTTTGATGCTCATTCAAATGACATAATTCGCTACGGTCATATCGTGACATTTTGTCGTGAATTCGCAAAAAAACATGTGCCTACCCCACTGCTCAAAACCACCAAAAAGTCACCACTTCGAAAAATCGTAGCAAACACACCAAGTCCGCTCGGGCTTCGTACAAAACTGTTCGGGCACTATTCGGCATGCTCTCTCAAATGCAAATTGGATTACGTGTTGAAAATGCCCGTTCGGTGTCAAACAAGCGGGAAAAGATACCAGGAGCCTGTCGGGTGGCTAGGTGAAACTTCAAAAAGATCGTAAAACCACACGCGCGATTTTCCAGCTATCCCATTTAACACATCGTATTCAGCGTTTGAAGCCGGTTCGAATGAGTCCAGGGCCAAATTCCGACGAGCCCGACTTCTTGTCTTGCTTCTCCACGGAAAACCCAGACCCTTTTATTCACAGAGAAAATCTACTATATATAAATTTCTAATGTCCGTACGCCCGTCCGACCGACCGCCCGACCGGGAATTCAGCCAAATTTTGCATTCAAATTCCAAATTCAATTTATTTTGGGGGAGGACCAGCGCTGAAACCCCGCGTAGCGGGGGGTCAGCGCTGGTACCGTATAATTAAATACACGAGAGGCCGAGAGAGGGAGAGAGAGAGAGAGTGGGGGGGGGAAGAAAGAAAGAGAGTGAGAGAGAAAGGGTAGAGAGAGTAGAAGAGAGAGGGAGAAAAGTAGAAAGATGGTGACCACATGAAAATGCACACTGTTTGCAGCACGATCCCCAATTCGGGGGTAGGGGACCGAGATCTTTGGCAAAAAATATACAGTATTCCTTCGAATACTGTATGAAAATGGAATTATTATAGTTTGAACAAGTGAAGGTTGCTTAAAATAAGAGATCAGGTTGTTGATAATGCAAAAATAATAGGATACAAATTAGACAAAATTCGAAAATGAGCATCTCAAGTCTTGTAGAATTCGCGCATCTTGTTCCATTTGACGCTTCGTCTAAAAATACCAAATTGATGTGATTTAAATCCGGTTTTCATGATGGATTTAGTAATACCTACCGGTACTTATTGTTTTTCTGGGAAATCGCTTTGTTAGGTCTATGCTTGCGCTTCTTGATCTTGGGCTTGACGACCTCGACGGCACGCTCGACCTGAAGGAGAAAAAATTGGGATTTTTGACGTGGGTTTTAGCGTTATTTAATTATCTATTACCGTACCTGCTCTCTAGCGTCCTTATCATACTCCAGAATTCCTTGTTTTTGGAGGGCTTGCAGGGCTTTGACTTTGGCGATGGCTTCGATGGCTCCTGAAAATGTGTTAATAGGACTAGACTTCGGCTTCGGCTTATGCTTAGGCTTGGGCTTGGGCTTACAAGCTTAGACTTAGGCGTTAGCTTATGAAAAACTTACTCTGTCTCTTCTCCACCAAAGTATCAATCTCTTCCGGCTTCAAAACCTGCTGGGTTGTACAGAGAAGCGCTTCGTCGCCGGACTTCTCGGCTACGATTTCAGAGGGCTTCTTGCGCCCTTCATTTACTTTCTAAAAAAAAGTAAGTTTAATTTACCAATTCAAATGCAGAGGCAAAAATACAAAAAAAAGAGAAATTTCCGTACCTTCAAAAAGTCCATGTACTCCTTGTTCTTGTTGTACTGGAAGATGGCTCGATTCGCTGCTAATCTCTCGGCGAGTACTCGATTGAACCGTTCCGAGCGGATTAGTTTAATTTCTAAAAAGCCGATGAAGATTTGTAAAAAGTTTTCAAAGTACCGTTTTCCATATCAAGCACCGGATCATGCTCGGTCCCCGGGTAGTCTTTGAATAGAGTCCGACTCATTACTTCTTCCATCTCGTTTTGGAGCTCCTGGAAGAGGATTTGGAGCTTTAGTTTTGCTAAATAATGGTTGGAAATACCGTAAGACTGAAGATAACTATGTCTCAGGGTCTTAATACTATTTTTCCCGCTGCATATGCCCTAAAAAACCAAAAAAATTCAAAATTCATAATTCTCGGGTTACAGTCTAGTTTTTTTAGTTTTCCTTTGCTTGTTAGCTTTCAAGGAGTACGACTCAGTACACCAAAAATCTTGGAAATATTGTTCTAAAAAATTTTTATGTTGCCTAGCCCTTTAAAATTCAAAAAAAACCGAAAAATCGTCATTTACGGGCAAAAAACCAGCCTACGCGCACCTTTCGGCGAAATTCTTTATTTTTGGTGTCTAAAAATCAGTTTTACTTACGAGTTCATAATCCACACGCCCGGGGTAGTACGCCAACATGTCCATCTCGTCATTCTTCCCCTTGCAGGCCTCTTTTCCGGGTTCGATAAACGGGATCCGGGCCAATCTTGGTAGACCGCCGGCCGCCAGCTCTGAGAGGTTCCGGCCATATCCGACGACCTGTAAATGTCATTCTACGACTTATTTAAAGTTCTTGTCTTTTAGGTAAATTGAGAAAGTACAGTAGGGCTTAATTTTAAAAATTTCATTTGTCATTTTTCATTGTCGAATCGTCTTAGGGTATGATCATACCTCGTAAATCCGATCCCTTTCCGCTTCAGACTGCTTCAGCAGATTCTCGCGCTTTTTCTTGATTTGGTGGAGGCGGCGTTCCTGTAAAATTTTGGATGTGCCTAGGCTAGGCTTAGGCTTGCGCTTAGGCCAAAACCTACAGTCTTGGTCAACGCCTTCTTCCGCTTCTTTTTCTGTTGCGTTTTCTTGGCAGAAGGCGTTGGTTTCTCGCTCTCATCACCACTCGATTCAGTGGCAGACTAAAAAGAAGCAAATCTACCAGTATAAAAAAAAATGCAATTACCTCGATTTCCTGCTTCGGTGTCTTCATTCCATCGGTTTCCTCATCGACGCAACTGGATTCATGTTTCACCTAAATTTTTGGGTTTCCAAAAAGGTAGTTCCTGTTGTCATAAAATAGAGACGGAGCGAGAGAGATGGAGCGAGAGAGAGAGGGAGTGCGAGAGAGAGAGACTCACCCTTCGTCTCGGATCCTTCTTGTTAAATCCTTGAGAGACGATCTCTCGGATCTTTTTCGGTCATTTTCCGAGACTGCTTCTCTAGGAGCTCTTCCCCTTCATCACTATCACTTTCTTCGACAGCTCTCGCCTAAAAAATGTGGACTTGGGGTTGTATGTTACTTATAAAGCCCTATATCACGAAATTCGCGCTGATTCTTAAAACATGATCCACTTACCGTAGCCACTTTCTTAGTCGAGGATGGTTTTCGGTATTTCGAAGGCGGCGAATCTGCATCACTATCATCACTCAACACAGCTCGATTCGAGACTTTCAACTTCTTCTTGGGGGTGATAAATCCGAGCTTTCGGGATTCCTAGAAACGCAGCGTACATAGCGTAACGTAATTCTAGGCTATGCGATGGTTCCTGCTTATCTTAAGTGTCATTAGTAAGCTAACGTACCAAGATCGTCTCATCGGCCTTCTGAGTACTCGTGGATGGCTCGTAGAGTTTGGAGGATGCCCGTAGTCCGGAATCAAACTTGAATTGGATCGAGTTTGACTTTTTGTCCTGAAAAAGGTACTGTGATTCAGGAAAATTAAAAAGAAAAAATGCTGAAAACTAAAAATTACAATTACGCTTACCAGGACAGTTTTGTATTCCAGTACGGTTTGAGGGACTTTTGGTTTTGAGGTCGAGAGGTAGCGGAAGAGGACCTAAACAAGATATATTAGAATGAGAGAGAGAGCGAGAGAGAAAGAGAGAGAGAGCGAGAGAGAAGGAGAGTGAGAGAGAGGACTTCATACGGGCTCTAAACTTACATCCTTCCCAGTCGCATCATCCCCAAAGTTCAACAAGTTCGAGATCAGCTTCTTCCTCCCTTCACCAAAGCTAGAATTTGCTGCTTGCACCGCCACTTCCGGTTGTTCCACGTTCCACACGATGACGTTCGGATTCTGATGCGTCTGAAGCCCAATGACGCACACCTCGCTTTGCTTCATCTTCAACTTCCGCATCTTGTCCGGGCTTGACGGCTCCACCTTGTTCACCACCACATCCCCTTCCTGGTCTCCAGGATAAAGGAATTCCTCCTTCACTTGTCCATCCGGTCCGTATTTATGAGCAATCCCGATCGACCCCTTCGGCATCTTCAGCGAGTCGCACCAAACGGACTTTGTGACCAGCTCGCTGAGGCCACCGTCAGAGTCGCCATCCTCGTAGCAAGACGTGTTGAGGTCTTCTTCTTCGATGTCTTGGATGTAGTAGGAGATTGGGATGCCGGAGAGGACTTGGCCGGCACGTTGGTGGTCGGAGAGGAGGTTGGAGAAGACCTGAAGGATGTAGAGAGGTAAGAACTGCTTGAACTTGAAGAAAACAGATATATCTCAAATTTTTAACTGCTTGAGCTTGATGGAGTATAGAAATAGACTAAAGGACAGATAGAGGCTTTTGAACTGCTTGAACTCGATGTAAGCGGAATTAAACTAAAAGACAGATAAATTCCTTTGAACTGCTTCAACTTGGCGGGACAGAAATTTCAAGGTAAGTACAGGGTGCCCCCCTCTGGCTGTGTTGGCGTATTTACCAGCGATGGGGACTAATAACTATGTCGCCGAATTTTCTGTAATATTGTAAATGTTATATTGAAATTAAGCTTTATATTGCCGATTTCAGTAGGATTTTGACGGATTTGGGCCTGGAAATGTTTAGCAAAAATGAAGAGGGCGCTTTTTTCCACCCGGCGGAATTTTTTGATTTACGAAAATTACGTTTAAATTGGGCCTTTTGATCACTTTTTATCATCAAAGGGAGCCGGGACCGAGCCGAAAATGATCTTTTTGGGAAAATTACTCAAAATCGGCATGCTAATTGCGAAAACCTAGCCAAAAATGAGTACCAGCGTTTCCAATCAGTTTTTAGCGATAACTTTTTTGTTTTACAATATTTTGCTTAGAAAATTCGACTGCACATAGTTTTTATGGGTCCCCGTCGCTGGTATTGGCCCGATCGGATAGAAGACGGCCATGCCGTGGAGGGCACGGTAGTAATGCTTCAATCGGAAATTACTTACCTGGCGTCCCGGAAATGGTGCAGGTCTAGTCAAATCGTCAAGTACGTCCTTTGGCTCTTCACCCAAAGTGCTGCGCCATCGGTGCATCTGGTCGACGGCTTTTAGCACGTTTTTAACGCTGAAATGGGATTTTGGAGATAGCTGCGCACAATAATAGAGGATTTTGCCGGTAGCCTTGCATATCGTTGTCCAAAAATCGTTTTCAAGCATATTTACAAGTTTTAGGCTTCTCAAAGGGTATCTGCTAACTTGCCCTGTCCGACAATTATCAGTTAAGATTTTGCTCACCTATTCCGGCTCGAATCGTCCAACGCCATTTTCCCAAAAGCCGACGTGATCACTGAACTGCTCCAATGTGGCCGAATCCCGGATGCCGATTTCAAAATGTGCATCCGCTTCTTCGGAGGCATCTCCTCCTCCATTTTATACGGCAACTCCTCGTCCAGCATGTATCGGAACGGGATTTTGCGCCTGATTTGGGCGGCCTCTTCCTCGTCTTGCTCTGAGTCGTCCTCAGAGGCTAGGGAATCGTTGAGCCTGTCTTTTTCGAGCTCCGGAATGACGCCAAGGTCCGTGTCATCGAAGGAGTCTCTCCGTTTGTAGGCGCTTTGAGGGGAGAGGGTGCGATTGTTACGTCGTGCTCTTTCCTAAAAGTTGCGTTTTACAGTAATCTCTCTACGATACAGTAATACACAAAATTCTATGATTTACGGAATTCCCAACCTCCCTAGAAGTGGCTACCGGCTTCCAGTAGTCCCCGTTAAGCTCGCGACTTTCGATGGATTGGGTGACCTAGAAAAAAAGGTATATTTTTTGTCACTCGCTAATAGTATTTATCGCATTTAATACGCTTTATAATCACAATATATTTATATGCAAATTAAGTCTAAAACGTACCCTCTTTAGCGCGTTCGTCGAGTCTCTCCGATCCCGAAGTCGCTGGCCAGAGCCGAAAATCGGAGCCGGTTTCTGCTCGCCGATGACGACAATGTCTAAAAAATAGGCTTAGACCTTGCTTAAGCTTAGGCTTATGCTTAACCATAGGCTTATGCTTAGACTTGGGCTTAGGCTTAGGCTACGATTTACCTTCCCCATCCGACGCGTTCGACTCCCAGCCCGGGCCCACATTGTCGAGTAGATGAGCGTAGGGGTCATCGGCCTAAAATACAGTAATCTCGCAGGCTACCGTAATCGCACCTCCACATTCTCATCAAAGAACTTCTGAAGCTCCCCATCCTGGTCCTGATCAATTTCAGCCTTGTTTGGGCTCGATTTTGCGATGGGGGAAGATAGCGGGGTCTCATCATCGTCCTCTCCATAGATCGATTCCCGCATTTTTCGACTCATTTTCCGCTTCCGCTTACACGGCCTATCGTCCTCGTCGTAGTCTTGGAAGCTCTCGTCGTCATTCGCCCCACTTGGGCTCATTAATTCCAAAGCCGGTGGTTCTGAAGCTTCGTTAGCTTCCACCTCTCGTTCCTCCTCCTCGTCTTCACTCTCTTCTGTAGCTCGTTTCCGCTCCTGCACTTTCATCTTTCTCCCAACGCTCTGATCCAGCTTCACTGATGCTCCTTTCTTAAGCCTGAGCTTGGGGACCGGCTTCAGCTCCTCCTCATTGACTCCATCTTCCGGGGAAGGCTCCAATGACGTAGACGAACCATCAAATCTTCGGATCAACTTCAGCGGCTTTATCTTCAAGCTGAGCTCGGCGGCTTTGGCGTCCTTCTTGGCCCACCACATCATGTTCTTCGACTTTTCCTCCTTTTTGTCTTTCTTTTTCTTTTCTGGGTTTGTTACTGATGTTTGGCGAGAAAGTGGCTTAAACATAGGTCTTGGGAACTTGACGAAACTGTCGATGAGGACTTGATCTGGGTTGGAATCTTCTTTTCTGAATTTACAACGGACAGCTTTTAGCTTGTCGTCGGTGTTTATGACGTAGCAAACGTCATTTCTTTCGACGATATACCAGAGTGGCTCGTAGGGGTGTGGGCCCTCGGCTGGACACCAACCACACCGCACGCAGAACGTTTGAGGGGATGAGAAGTTGGCGGGACACTCGCAGGGGATCGTGTAGGAGCAGTCGTTCGGTTCTGAAAAACATACCTTAAAAGTGGTCGGTTAAGCTATAGACGCGAGGACACCCTTCAGAAGCGACCACCCAAATTTCGGACTCGCGGAAAGCAGGCTAAATTCTAAACGGCATAACGGATCGGCCCACTACCCCCCTTGTCGGGGACCCCCCACTACCCTCCCGAGCCCCCTCGCAGTTGGCACCATGGTCACGGTAAGCTGTCGCTTCAGGACAGGGCGGGGCGACCCCGCCCTGCACAATTCTTTCTTCACAAAACACATGATCATAAACGTCTTACCTCTAAAACCATTACCGCCATAACGTCGGAGGTGACGACAATTAAAAATAACGCAACCAATTTAGTCAATTTTTAGCCTAAATGTCGAATAACTTTTAAATAAAGTCGGCAGCAAATTTGGAACCCAGATTCGAATCAGCGAAACTGCACAGATAGGCTTGGCCCACTCTAAAACGCCACCTGAGTAAAACCTTACAGTTGGCTGGCTGGCTTAGCTTGCTTGCTGGCTTGGCTTAGCTTGGCTTGGCTTAGACTTAGGCTTAGGCTTAGGCTTAGGCTTAGGCTTAGGCTTAGACTTAGGCTAGGCTAGGCTTGGCTTAGACTTAGGCTTGGCTTGGTTAGGCTTAGGGTTAGGCTTAGATTAGGCTTAGGCTTAGGCTTAGGCTTAGGCTTAGGCTTAGGCTTAGGCTTAGGCTTAGGCTTAGGCTTAGGCTTAGGCTTAGGCTTAGGCTTAGGCTTAGGGCTTAGGCTTAGGCTTAGGCTTAGGCTTAGGCTTAGGCTTAGGCTTAGGCTTAGGCTTAGGCTTAGGCTTAGGCTTAGGGCTTAGGCTTAGGCTTAGGCTTAGGCTTAGGCTTAGGCTTAGGCTTAGGCTTAGGCTTAGGCTTAGGCTTAGGCTTAGGGGCCTAGGGCTTAGGCTTAGGCTTAGGCTTAGGCTTAGGCTTAGGCTTAGGCTTAGGCTTAGGCTTAGAAGGCTTAGGCTTAGGCTTAGGCTTAGGCTTAGGCTTAGGCTTAGGCTTAGGCTTAGGCTTAGGCTTAGGCTTAGGCATAGCTTATGCTTAGGCGTAGGCTTGAGCTTAGGCTTAGGGTTCTTCAACTCGACCCACCTTCCTTGATACCCTTCAGTGCGATCTGGACGTCTTCTGACCTCTTCTCCCTCATCTGGGGCTTGACAAAAGGAAAATCGTCATCATGGACGATTTGTGGAGACATTTGGCAGGAGGAGTTCGATACTAAAATTCAGTGAATTGCATGTCGTAAGCTATAAAACCCACCTCCGGATGCTCTCCGCCTTCTCGTATCGTCTTCGATCGCTTTCGCACGACGGGGAGGGGTCTAAAAGAATTGTTAATCAGGGTCGTCGGTTTCTAGTTTTTTATTCTTTAATTTTTTATTTAGATTACCTCTCGTAATGGAGAATCGTCTTCCTCGTTGAACGACAGCCTCTTTCGATCCCTGCCGAGGATGCGACTCTAAAAAATTTCTCAATTAAGCCGAAATCGTCAAAAAATTGCGTATTGCCTGCTAATCCTGGAAAAGGAAAAGTTTCGATCTACTTAGGCATATGGAAACGACTCACAGTCTTCTTGATCTTTCTAGAAGACCGCCGAGGTGATAGCGTTTCGCTGTCATCAGAGCATTCATGCGACACGTCGACGGCCAGTTCCTGGAAGAGCGTCTGGTTTTAAAGTATTTTTACACATGAAAAAACTAAAGCTGAAGAAGCCCTTTAAAGGGATAAGGACGGCATAAGGCAAGAATCTTCCCAGTATTTAAGAAAAAGCACCTCTTTTACCGTAACCTCCTTCGTCAACACCGGCGCATCTAGGATCATCGACTGTCTTCTGGAGGGGGAATGGGCAAAGTAGGGTCTCTGAAAAATTGTATATCGTAGTCTATTAAAACTTTCAGTAATATACAACGATAGTTTTAGACATTATAAACCAAAAAAATATTTGTCTTAGAAATTTTATAGCGACGCCCACCTTTTTCCCATCTATCTTCACGCTCTCGTAGGTTAGCCGTGCTCTTTGCATGTACCTTAAAAATTTCGAGATTGTGAGAGAGAGAAATAGAGAGAGAGAGAGAGAGAGAGAGAGAGAGAGAGAGACTGAGATTGAGTAACAAACTTACTCGTAAGTAGCTCGAACGACCGCATCGACGTTATTCGGGTCCATTTCTTCGATCGTGTCCATCCAAGCCCGAACGATGACTGTAAGAAAATGATTATACATTTTTCTTAAGATTTCCATACCTTGGAGCTTTAGAGAATCTCCAAGGAACTCCACCTCTCGCCACCACCTTGAGCCTTCTACTCGAAGAACTCGCATTCTGAAAAGAACAGCATGAACAGCATTTGGAAAAGAGGGAGAGAGAGAGAGAGAGAGAGAGAGAGAGAGAGAGAGAGAGAGACAGTGGGACGGAAAAAACCTACAGTTCCACAAAATCCCTGGCAAATTGCCCAATTTGGCCGCGAATGAAATACTTGTCGAAGTGGTCGGCGAGGGCCTCTTGCGGTCCGGTGAAGTTGATTTGGTTGGCGAGGAAGGCCCTGGAAAAATCGGTTTTGCCATATTTTTGCTGTCACTCTTCCTTTAAATGAATTTTGAGCATTAGAAAAAATAACAGGGTTTGTTTTAATTCGATCATAAGGCTCTTACGAAGCGAAAAACGCACCAATTCGCTGCCTTTGTCAACCGGGTACTGGCAACAAGCTTCATGTCTTCTTCATGGCCCCAAAAGCCAAGTCGTCGGTCGACCTGCAAAATTTGTTTTATTTTTCAATGTATTTAATTTCCCTTTCAACATCTTATTAATTATATGAAACTTACCTTAACGATCTGCCTCGTCTTCCGCCTGTGCACCTTGTAGTTGTGCCCGCGTTGATGCTCTCCAGCTTCGACGCCATATGCAAAGCACTAAAGGTATTGTTATAGTTTTTATCATTGTCGGTTTATTTCAAATTTGTTTCAGCATTTAAATACCCACAGTTTTGCAAAAATACAACGGCTGCGCGCACTCGGCACACTCGATGATCGGTTGGTCTTCCGGGAAAAACCGGAGGCAATACTCGCATAGGATGTCCTCGCTCAGAGGGTCATCCATTTTGGCTGAAAAAACTCGTATTATTGCTATTTTAATTTCCGTGCTGAATAAAATACAAAAAATGAGGCGAATCGAGGTATTATACTCGAGTTATTGGCATCGTTTTGTTAATTTTCCAGCGATACAAGGCGAGTTAAAGCAAGAAAGCGTATGTAGAATAAAATAGGTATCACGTTATTATTCAAATTAACCAAAATCATGTTATTTCTATTACATTTTTAGCTATTGTACAGAATACATCGCTTTTTAGCACAAGCAACGCGTTAGAATCGATTAAATGGTGTTGCTTTTTTGATTTTTAAGTCGTTAGAAGTATAATGTAATAAAAAATGTATAAGATAGTGTAGTTTCCAAGCTAAAATTTCAAGTCCAAAAACTTCCAACATTTCCCGGAGTTTCATAGCGTAATTTCAAATTCCCGTCCCGCTGACCCGTTCGGCCATAGCTCGGTGCCAGGCGCTGGTGCTGTTTGGCCAGCCCTGCCCCAGACACCAGCTGCGCGATAGGGCACGCGTTGCGGGACCCCAATCGCCTTATAAACCCCCACTAAAAACAGCTGTAGAATACATGCCGTGATTTGGTAAACAAAAACAAGAATTGGAGACGAATCCTTGTTGAAAATGACGGGTTGAGGACTCTAAATTTTTATCAGACTTTGGTTGAATTTGGCGCCTTTAGCTGTCAAATTTTTTCGGTGACGGTTAGACTACGAGAGCGTCCTATCGGCACAACGACAGCGTGGTTGTTTAGGTAAAATCGACGCGGTGTTGACGACGGCCCGTTGCTACACCACTTTTAAAACGTCTGAAAATTTATTTGCATTTTTAGAACACGATTATTTTCCACCTGGAAATGTAAAAAATTTCCAAACTAAGCGAAACGGGTGAATTAGTCATGCAACTGTACCTTTAATGAGCTTCATACGAAACAAGATTTAGAGGAATTAGCACAATAAATATTCGAAGCAAAGATTTGGATCATGAGGGACTACGGGTCGTATCTCTGCGCATCTGGAAGCTATGCATTAGTGCGCGCTGTTGACGCGTGCCCGGTAAAAGCGGTGTCCCCCGTCTTGATAAGCAGCTGTTACCAAAAAAATAATAGCATTTCCGGCAGATTGTCAACGTGATTAATTGCGTCAAAGCGATTTGATGGTTTACCCACTTTCACGCGAATCTATATTAGATTAATTTTGCCGCTTTTTTTAGCTAATAATTTTTTTCTAAATTTTAATTGTATTCACTATTTTTTTAAAAATGCGCTTATTTGCAGAAAATGGCGCACCCTCTGAAGCTCCCGGTGAAAATAAAAGTTGAGCCATCTGGAGGTGCATTCAAATTTTGTAGCAATAATTTTTATTTTCAGGTGGCCTTAATCCGCAGCTACGCAAGCTTATCGATGGATTCGGGCGAGGTAGCATGGATCTAGCTATCCTTAAACTATATTTTAGCCCCGGGAAACGTTGCTGGGGAAATGCGAGCCGAAATCAAGGCCCCGGCAATCCCCGTAAAAGTTATACCCGTGCAGCGCGAGGTGAAGCCGCCGAGTATGGGTGGGTTTTTGGATAATTTTTAAGGTATTTTAACTTTGCAAAAAGCTTTCTTTTAGCTGAATGCGCTATTAAAAAATTATTTCCTTGTAAATACTTAAATTCCAGAGCCGATCTTCAAAAAAGTGAAGCAAGAGCCACGTGAAAGCTCGGAAACATCCGGCAGTTCCGGCTTTTGGGTGAAGCAAGAAGTTGACGAGGATCAGCCGTGCACGTCTAGAAGTCACGGACTGCCCGGCTTCATCCCACCTCGACCAGTGTAATTATCATTCAACTTTTAAGATTAATTTTTTTACGATTTTAACGATTAAGTAACTTGGACTTATTTGAATTTTGGAGAATGGCTTTAATTATAGCATTTTTACAGTACCTGCCCTGCCACTCATTTGGTGAGCCGCGGCGTTGTTGAGCGCGATTACTCAAACCCGGAGTATCGGAAGCGATACCACGCGCTATGGTATAAGACTTGGTAAGTTTATTATGATTATTTTCTACCTACTAATTATTAAGTTCAAATCTTCATACTTTTAAGAGCTACAGCATACAAAGTGATCAAATCCTGGTTTTAGGAAAGAAAGCTTCACCCCGGAAGAGTGGGCTGCTGAACGGCGTCGTCGGTAAGTTCGATCATATCTTTCTCAAAAAATCTCAACTTTAGCAAGGAGCAAAGCCAGGCCTGGACCACCCGCGAGCAGTACGAAGAGCGTCATCGCCGACAAAGCGAACAGCATCGATTAAAGTAAGCGGAAAGTCAAATTTTTTTCGGCTATACTCTTCGTTAACTTTGTTAATTCTAACTTAATTTGCTTTAAATAGACCCATAATTCTAGGCGCTTGCACGAAACACCCGAACAACGCGAAGCGAGGCTCGAGCGGAATCGCGAAAAGGTAATTTTCGGTAGCGCCCAAAATACTTTATGCGTTTCAGAACCGTCTCCTCGATGAAGACCCGGAAAAGAAGGCAAAACGCAAGGAGCAACAGGCCCAAAGCTACCTACGACGAAAAGCTCAAAGGGTACAAGCTGAAGCGGAAAGGAGAGCAGCTTTCGGATTGCCACCGTAGGTTTTTGAGACGAGCTTAAATTTTGTTAAATATTTAAAGTTAAGTTTATCCACCTTAGGTCCTCCGACACGCAAGACTCCGGAAGCGACTCCCGACAAAGAACCAAAAAACGTGCAGCCTCTATAGAACGACGATCGCCCGAACCGGAAGTAGACTGGAAGGCGTTGCTCGAAAAAGTTAAAGTAATGGGCTATTCGGCGAAGGATTTCCCCGGATTGTTCCCAGAGGTATTTTCACTTACTCTTTAGTTTATTTAACTTTACAATTTTGTTAAAATTATCGAAAACTTCACTTTGGTCGCCCATGGAAAAAAACCACAAGGGTGCACGATTTCCCCGCGTACATAGGCGCGCCTCGTACCATCTGTTGGCGCGCGGAGAACAGCTACGTACCGAAACACTGGACGCGCCATTCTTGTGACCTACATTCCAAAAGCCGCTCCCGCTAAAATGTGGTTTTGCCTTAGCTCTATTAAACTAACTAAAAAAAGTCGATTATTATCTTTGTCCTTCAGGAAGAAGCCGCTGAGCCCCAGCCCGGTACGAGCAAGATGTGAACTGCTTGCCAAGCCCCTGAAATATCGATATTTTAGTCTCTTCTATACGTTCCTTCACCTTTCCTTTAATGTGATACTTTTCCATACATTTCATGCCAATTTTGCCTTGTTTTTGTTTACATTTAATTTCGTTTACAGTATTATAGATAAACTTTTGATCTATGACTTTTTGCAAGTTTTTCTATAGGTTTTCAAGCCATTTTGATGCTTTAATACTGTTTTCTGGGTGTTTCTAACCTAAATGATTCCCAGAAACCGTTAAAAATTATTTTTTAGCCATGGCCTCCGACGAATGTTGGGTGGCGATGGACGCCAGCTTGCCGGATGGGCCGGAAGAGCCGGAAGAACTAGCAGGAGAAGATGATGAGTCAGATGAGCCGTTTCCATCAGATCTCTTCACTCACGTCGTCCCGAAGGAGGAGAAGCCACGTCCGGATGGTAATTTTTAAAAGAAGGCTCGCTTATTTGATGTTAAGACGTCGTTTTTTAGTTTTATGAAGTTCTAAAGCCAGTATCTAAGCAACACACGTTTTTTTCAGCACTTCTCGAGCCCGCAGTTGATCAGCCCGGCCCGTCTACAGCCGCCGAGGATGAACCGGCCTACTTCAACGAGCCTCAAGCTGTCCAACCGAAGGGTCGCCTCGTTCGTGCGAATGTAGTGCAGGCTACTCCACGTCAGACTGGTTAGTTTTTGATTTGTGATATGTGAGACAATAATGACAAAAAATTATGTAACAAAACTTTTTTAGTCCTGTGCCCCTACTGCCCGGGCATCTACCAGAAGCAAGGCCTCCTCCGCCACATTCAATCCGCTCACCAGGGCTTCCACCTGCCGCCGACCCTTATCGACAAGTCATTCCACTGCATCGAGTGTGATCGCTATTTTGCGACCGATCACACACTGCGCGGCCATCGCCAGAATGTGCACTTCGAATCCCAGACAGCCGGGCTGTTGCAGTGCTCGGCTTGCCCGAGCAGACCAATCTCGCAGCAGGCCCTCGCCCAGCACTACGCCACCTCGCACTACACGAAATATGAGAAGTCGGTTATTTTTTGGGGGTTTTTTTCGTAAAGGTGCATAAATTTTTGTTTTGAATCGATGTTGCATTGGTAAGGAAAGTGTTTCTTCGCTGTTTTTGCCGTTTAAAAACGTAGAAAATTACGAGTATTTTATGAAAAACAAAAAATGGCACCTTTTTCGACAAAACGACGGTTTTTCCACCAAAGTTTTAATTTTTCGGCATTTTTCAGGTTTCGGATCCGCTTGAAATATAGTAAGATTTTATTACACCAAAAATATTCATTTTACGACGAAAAATGGCGGATTAAGTTTTGGACGTGTTCTAGACTTTCTAAAAATGGTTTCCTCTTTAAGTGTAGTCAAATTGTATCAAATATACTTTAAAAATGCCTGCCTATCTATGATGAGCCATATCGCGATTTATCGCAAAAAAATCGGATCTAGATTTGATCTCATGCTAAAAAAGAACTTATTTCCAAATTTCGTTGAGTGCAAAACATTTTTTTTAATACAAAAAACCTTTTTCCCTTTTAGTTTCAAGCTCCGGAACAGCCTATACGAGGATCAGCAATCGTTTCTGAACTGGCTCGCCCGGGTTGAGAGCGCCTCCAAGCACTGCTTCTTCGTGCACACCGCCCAGAAGGGCGAATACGTCAAGTATCGATGCTGGGTGACGGGAGTTGATGGAAAAGATGCTGGAACAGTGTCTTGTCCGGCTTATATTGAGGTAGATTAGTTTATTTACTATGGAATTAGGGTTTTTAGATGTTCTTCAACAACACTGGTGTCTTTTCGAAGTATCAGTTGAGCCATGATCACGAGCCTGACCGAGATCTCGCTCGGACTGTCAAGGCAAAGTTTGCCATCGTCGAATCGGAGCTGGAGCCGGGGAAAATGGGTATGTTTTTCAGTAAATATAGTTTTTACCACATTAAAATACGCCATTTTTGATGTGCGTAGTTTTGAACGTCTAAACTAGTTTTTTTTCAGCAGTGGCACTGGCTGAGCGAGCAGCAGCGGAAGGACAATCACCTGTTCCAAGTAAGCCATCTAAAAATTTTTACGGTTTTCTATGTTTAATTGATTTAATTGCATTTTTTAATATATATAGTAATAAACACTTCAATTGTATTTTTTTTAGAAAAACCGGCCAAGAAAAACGGCAAAGATAGAGCCGGACGTCTCGGATCCGACTTTTCCCTCGCTGGTCAGGGTCCCGCTTGCTTCCAGTGAGTTCAGGCGTCAAATCAGTTTTTCTTTTTTTTTTAGGCGTACCTGCGAAGAAATCAGCGGCTGAAAATCCCGGCGCCTCGAAGCCTTACAACCCGCCGACTACCACCTCTTTGAAAAGGAAGCTGGGTAAGGTATTCACAAAAATTGGCATATTCTCATCTAGATGATGCGGGGATAACATCCGTGGCTGCTAACCCGCACGTCGCCAAGCCGTCCCCACCTCTGCCGCACACTTTGAAGCGGAAGTTCCCGGCTGTGTCTGGTAAGTTAAATTATAAAAAGCTCTTGATTAATTTAATTCTTTAGACTCTCTCTATTTAATCGGCAAGCCACCTCTCACGCTTGGTAAGTAATTTTGGCTGTAATTTTTCTCTATATTCAGTATAAGATCTTAATTTTTTAAATTTTATATGGACTAATAAATCTATATATTTTAGACGGAGCTGCAAAGAGATTCCATTCCGAAAATATTGGCTTTTACAAGCCGCCGATGCGCCAATCGGTCCCCGAAGTTCAAAAAATCAGCAATCCGCCTAGTAAGATTTTAAATTTTAATTTAACGATAGTTTAATCGTATGATTTTATATTATAATTATTAACAAAACATTGTTAATTTTTGTAATTTTCATAATTGGTTTTCAGAGACATTGGACGATTCCAAATCAGGGCCTCGAATAATCCGACGAGCCAATCTTGCGCCTACCGGAAATCAGGGTGCTGATACGGCAAAAATACAGCTTTCAAAAGCAGGCGAGTAGTTATAGACGAATTCCTAAAAGATCGATGCTAGCCTGCCTTGTCCTAAAATTTTAGTTTGTAGCTTTTTAGCAGTAATTCCCTAAAAATCGCTGCTAGTCTGCCTTGTCCTAAATTCTAATTGTCATGTTCTAGCTCCTCCGGCTCCGATTGTCCCCCCGAAAATTCCACGAATCACGGAAGCGCCGGAACCGATGATTCCAGCCTCAAAAACTTCGGCCTTTCCGAGTAAAGCTCCAATTATTGGTCGGTATTTGAATGTTAATTATGATTTTCGTATTTCGGGCCTTATTTGGAAAATTTCTATTTTCTAAAGTTTTTAAAAGGCAGTCTGTGAGACACCCGAACAGGCTTCCAGTTTTCGACCCTATTTTTATGATCCATCTGAAGAGCGTTGAATTAGTAGGGTGGATAGTTGAAAGTTTTAAAAGTTAATTTTTGTGGCTTAAATGGGCGTTAAAGTTGCCGACCTCGAAAAACTATCTCGAAAACTTCTGAACCAAATTCGCTGAAAATTTGTGTCAATACCTAATTTGGCATAGGGATCATTTCTCTAATACATTGCAAAACCCAAAATGACCGGAACATGGTTATTGCGTACTAAAAAAGTATTTGACACTTTCGAATTTTGGGACACCTCAGCGCAATGCAAAATAGCATAGAAAGATGCGCCAAAATTTGCGTCGAATGACGTATGTCGTTTGCGCCCAGGTGCCCAATATTACTATACGCGATTTGTGTGGGAAAATGCAACAAAACGACCCTAAAAATACAAAATTGTTAGTTTTGAAAATACAAGACATGATTTTGCATGTAGTCGTCATGCTGAAGCCATTGCAAAAAAGAGCAAAAAGAAATTCGGTTTATTTCGATGTCGTGGAATCGAACTCGGGTCGTGTGCCTGGGAGCCCTGTGGCGCAATGAGGAGAGCGTCGGCCTGCCAATCCAGAGCTGGCGCCAGTTCAATCCCAGCACCCTCTCAGAAGCCGAATTTCTTTTTGCTCTTTTTTGCAATGGTTTCAGCATGACGACTACATGCAAAATCATGTCTTGTATTTTCAAAACTAACAATTTTGTATTTTTATGGGTCGTTTTTGTTGCATTTTCCGCACACAAATCGCGTTATAGTAATATTGGGACACCTGGGCGCAACACGATCAATACGTCATTCGACGCAGAATTTTTTGGCGCATCTTTCTATGCTATTTTGCAGTTGCGCTGAGGTGTCCCAAAATTCGAAAGTGTCGAAATACTGTTTTTAGTACGCAATTTAACCACGTTCCGGTCATTTTTGGGTTTTGCAATGTATTAGAGAAATGATCCCTATGCCAAATTAGGTATTGACACAAATTTTCAGCGAATTTGGTTCAGAAGTTTTCGAGATAGTTTTTCGAGGTCGGCAACTTTAACGCCCATTTAAGCCACAAAAATTAACTTTTAAAACTTTCAAAACTATGCCACCCTACTAATTCAAACACGCTCTTTCAGATGGCATCATAAAAATAGGGTCGAAAAAAACTGTGCCAAGCCATAATGGGAACAGTTCGAGTGACTGGCGGACAGCCTTTTAAAGTCTTTTTAGCCCCTGAAAGATTCGGTTTTTTTCTAAAATTAAAATCAGAAGTAATATTTTTACGTTTTATTTTATAAATATTTTTTAGTCCAACAACCTGCAAACACCGGACCAAGAATTATGCGCAGGATAATCAACGGCGCTACCCCATCAACTTCAGCGCCGGTCTCGGGTTGGTTTTTAGCTATTTAATTTTAACAGCTACTTAAATTTGATGCTAGTATAACTACATCACCATTAAAGCCTTCATTTAAATTTCATTAAATCGTTGTAAATTATTTATAATCCAGTCTTTTTAGCTCCGCCCGCCACCAGCCAGGCCCCCATCATGATGCGTAGAATGATTCAACCCACCGCAACTTCATCCACTTCGGCGCCGCCCATCCCGAAAATGTCGCCCGTTTTGGGTTGGTTTTTCAAAAATAAAAATGTCTTTTCGGATGAAATTTGTTTTCGTCAATTTTTAAATTTTAAAGGTTTTTTCTTTCAGAATTAAACGTTTAAAAAACAGTTTTAGCACGATCAGCCCAGAGGGTAATTCTTAACGACTCGATGCGCCGAATAACTCAAGAGCGGCTAATTCGATCGACTTCCAAGCCGGACTCGCCGGAAAAGCCGCCGGGCATAGGTGGGGTTATTTTAAGCTGTATTATCTTTAAAACGGATTTCAAAATTATCTCTGGTTTAAAATAAACTTTTGAATACAGCTTAAAATCCCAATTTTTAGGTCCGCAAGCTACGACTGCAGCTCCCACCACGATGCGTCGAATAACTCAAGAAACTCCTGCTCGACCCCAGGCGAAACCGAACACACCGGAAAAGCCGCCAGTTATTGGTGGGTTTTTAGACAACATCTGGTCGAAACTCACGTTGGTTGCCTGGTTTCCCGTGGATCTCAAGGCGTTCAGCTCCTTTTAATACTTACAAACAAATGCTACGCGTGATTCCTATAAACATGCGTTTTGTAAAATTTAAAAAGTAGACATCTTTAAAAAATAGAATTTAAACTCGTAGTTTAAAAAGTTCAGCTGAAATAAACGTAAAAGTTGAATGGACCAATTTAAAATCGAAATTTTTTATTAATTTTAAAAACAAAATTAGATTTTTTAATGTTTTGGGAGAACCCGGGGGATTCGATGACGACATGTAATTCCTATAAACACCCGATTTGCCAGCGGTAAAAACCGTACTCCGATTTGTTATAACACCGGTTAAAGCGATGCGAAGCGCCCATTTGACAGCAAAGCGCCTCGATGTAATCAACGCTCAGCAGATGAAGATAAAAAACAAGCCAAAAACGTTCACCTGGACCCGCGAGCGCCTCGCCCTCACCTTGCCGAACGTGGAGGCCGCCCTAAAATGGGCCATATCCGCCGGGCTGCTCCCCGCCAAGAAGCTGTGCTCGAGCTGCGGGCGCGAAATGGCGTTCTGGCGGCGCGGGGCGCACAGTTCCTGGGGCGCCTTCATTTGCAAGAACAAGGAGTGCCCCAACGTCCTCAAGCAGTTCACCCAGTCGCACGGCACGTGGTTCCAGCACGCTCGGCTATCCATCCCGCGCAACATGTCGTTCGTCTACTCGTTTGTGCGGAGTGAACCTATCGAGGAGGCCGGGGAAGAAGGCTTTGGCCCAGGATAACCTAGGCGCCCGCTCGAGCCGGGAGACGATCGGCGAGTTCTACGCGTACTGCCGCCGGATTGTCGTGCAGCGATTTATAGCGAGAAGCGAGGAAAAGCGGAAACTTGCCGGCGTCGTCGGAATTCAGGAGCTGACGTTTGTACCCAAAAAAGTTCATCCTCACCTCGTGGGAGATTGGGTACTTGCGATAATCGAGGAGGTCTCGGAAGAGCTCAGGCTCGTAGTTTGCCCGTACGATGAGCAGCATGTGGAGGGCACGAGAAGCTCAGAAGACCTGCTTCCGCTTCTCGAAAAGTATATCCAGCCCGGAACTACCGTAAAAACCGGAGGTTGGCCAGCCTATTCGGCCCTCACGGAGTCTGGATATACCCACGCGATTGTGAATCGACACTCCGTGAACCCGAGGTCGATTCTGACGAATTGGGGCCCGCTGTTCAACTACATCAACGAGTGCCACACCGTCAACGCCAACAGGGTCCAGCTGGCGCACGAAGCCGCTTGGCGTCGCGAATGCGCCTTGTATGATATTGACCCGTTTGATGATATTCTGGCCATGTTCCGAGAGTTTTATCGCTGAAGTTGTTGAATAAAGTTGTTGTAGGGTTTTTTAACTTTTATGGGACACTAAAAGGGAGAAAAATCGAAAATACAGCTTACAAAAGTTTTTTTTAAGAAATTCGCAAGGCAACTTCAGCCATGAAAAACGTCAAAATAAGTTAAAATGTTACAAAATTCTTAGCTCGAGCTGAACGTCTTGAGAAACTCGGCGCTTCTACTTTTATGTTTTCGGAACGTTCACTAATATTTTATTTTAGAGACTCCTACCACCTCCACTGCTCCAGCTACATCGTCAGCGACCCAGAAGCCGGTCTTGCCTCTGAAACAGGATCAAATCAACGGTTCCGCGAATGAGAAACCAGGTTTCTTTTGGATTTCAACCTCGAGAATGGGGCTTTTGGATTTACCTCGCTCGGAATCTCGAAAATCAGAATATCGTATTTTCAGAATAGAAATTAGCACAATATCGAAATTATTGCGCCAAGTATCTCAAAACAGTCCTTCCCCGTCAAATACTTGGATTGCAGAGACACTTTTTTGCAAAAAAAAAATTATAAAGCAATTTTTGCTGGACTGTTTGCAGGGGGAAACCAATTTTTTTCCCAATAGCGCCGTCTTGGTATTGTCAGGTTGTAGTATAATTTTAATTTTAATTTAATTTAATCAGTCTACTAAGAATTAAAAATACTAAAAACTTTCAAAAACTACACTTATCATTAGTAACAGGTGGAAAATAAAAATTGGTTCCCCACCGTTAAAGGAGAAGAACCGGAACCGTCGCTCGGCCCAATAAAAAACAATACCAAAACTATTTCCGACGTTTCCAGCCGGTTTTTTGCAACTCGACAACACTCAACCTCTGAAATCGAGCCGGCGACGCCTCACACGCGAAATGCCCGACGAAGCGGAAGCCGTCAAATGGGCCACGCAGAACGGGCTGCTTCCGGCAAGCAAACGGTGCCCCAACTGTAACTGGGAGATGATACTCAAGACACGAGGCAAGGTGGGCATCTACGGCGCCTTTGTCTGCAAGAGGCGAAACTGCCGCGTGCGTGACAAAGAATATTCCCGAATTAAAGGAACGTGGTTTTCGGCGACGAATCTGTCGATTATCCGAAGTATCTCTATCGCATACTCGTTCGCTAATTGTGA